AGAGATCAAACTTAAAGAGAAAAAGTTCAAAGAGAACAAACTCATGATGAAAACCAAAGATCACCAAATGATTGAGAAAAATTTACCTAGTACTATAACTATCTTAGCGGAACCGAAAATATTTTTTCCTTCAGTTAGATTATGATGAGAAAAAATTCTTGGTTTTACACTTCTTAAAAATTTATTTCTCCAAATGGCAAAGTAGCGTGAGCAGATGATTTTATCTCTGGCGTGTGTGAGCACTTGATGATTAGACAATTATCTACCAACATAGTTACGCATGTGCGTACACAAAATCATTTACAGTCAGTAGTTACGCACGTACGTACACAAAATCATATCCATTTATAATAATTATATATATAAGCAGGTGAACTGGTTGGTAGTGTTGTCAAAAAAATTTAGAAATATTCATTTATCGAATTTTTAAAAACTTTAAAGGTATGTCGCATATAGTGTCTAACGTAGTTTACTTACTAGTGACAGTGTGACACAATCGAGTACACATGACCATGTATGAAACGAATGTACATCGTGAATGCGCCACTTAGTTACACACAACTCGAAACCAAAATTCTCATTTTGATTCATGTAGGACCAGACTAATGTTGAAGAAGTGATGTGAGGCAACAAGAAGCTCTGATGGACCATCAGTAGCCAACTCTACGTATCCCTGTGGAAATGATTGTTTCCTTGTTTCTTTAGCTCGTGGAATCACAGTTACTCTACTCTCTTTACATGTTGAATTGGGTGAATAGTTATGTGAAAAGGGATATTTGGTAAAGCAAAGGCCAATGAGACTTGTATTAACCATATACAAGTGAATTATCTAAAACATATACAAGTGGATTCTCATGGACAAACCATCTGGTCGCGGTCGTTACTCGTCACCGTCGTTATTGGTCACCGTCGTTACTTGTTGTGGTCGTTACTTGTCCGCAAAAGAAAATGTCCGCTCGGACATGACCATTTGGACACGGTCAACCATTTTGACAACTCTACTGATGGTGGACGATTTGAAAGGTGTGAATTTTATGTACACACATCAGACATAGATTTGAACAACGATGTCCAAAATGATACAACAAAGGTACATAAAACAATGATACAACAAGGACCAACATTCTAATATACACACATATATACTACTTCAAAATTTTCTTAATTCCGATGTGGGACAATTACAACTTTCTAACAAACAATATATACTTCTATCATTATATGATCATCCATTACATCGTAAAAGAAATTGAATCTAAAGTTCTAAAATTTTCAAGCTCTAAAATTTTCAAGCTAACAACTTTTTAATGCTAAATCTAGATTTTAAATTAAATATGGATATTAAAATCAGCATCAAAACTCAGTCTATTATAATTTTGGAGAAAAGAACATGTTGGGTTCACATGATTTTGTACCATTTCCATAATAGTTTTTTTTAGTAACCAAGATGGATCTTAGGCCAAAATTTGTAGACAACCATATATTTTGACATTTAAAGTGAGTGACAAGAGAAAATCGCAATAATATTCTCCCAGATGATGAAATTTGATTCCTGGTTTATGACTCACGCGACGAGCTTTCCACCCACTCTATCAAAACTGTTAAATTTAGGTTTCTCATAGA